AGAGTCCAAGTCAAGTCCGAGTCACAAGTCTTCATGTATTAATCTTGAAGTTAATCAAATTAATCTTAATTTGTGTTGAAATGTAGCTGTAGCTCCTCTACATTGCTTTTATCCTGTCATGTTATACTAATGTGTCTATTGAACTGCTGTGAAGCGAGTTACAATTCTTGTAATATGCTTATTACTAATATTAATATTATTATTATTATTGTAAATGACCTTTAATATGTCTAACTATATTTAAAATGAGTTACCCTTTAGAGAAGTGATTATATTTGTATGCCAATATTTTCTTATGGAAAGTTTCCTTTTGCACTTTTATTTTGATAGTAATACGATCAAGACATCTTTAGACTGGAATAGCGGGGCCCAGTACGTGAACTCGCAGGTGCACACGCCAGGATAGAGGACATCAGACTCCAGAGAAAACTTGCTCGAGTCCGAGTCGAAGTCGGAGCGTCAATGTACAAGTCGAGTCCGAGTCATCGTGGGGGGAGAAATTCACGAGTCCGAGTCATCGTGGGGGGAAAAATTCACGAGTCCGAGTCCAAGTCATCGTGCGCGAGAATTCATGAGTCCAAGTACGAGTCGCGTCAATCAGTGCGCGAGTCCGAGTCAAGTCACGATTCCCGAAAATCGGCACTCAAGTCCGACTCGAGTCTTTGTCCAGGACTCGAGTACACAGTGTTTGAGGAACACAGCCACAGGCTGAACACATTGAGGCCACAGGCTGAACACGTTGAGGCCACAGGCTGAACACGCGCGCCAGACATACACACCTGTCGCTGCTGTGTGGAGGAGATTTCGCAACGGAGGAGTCCCGCGGCTGAAGGCCGCCATCCGCTGGGGAGACCTGCACAGCTGTTTTCTGCTTCTGCCGGTGCGGAGGCCTGATCGGGGGATATCGCGGAGAAACCGGAGTGTTGCCACACTGCTGGTTGCCTATTCCTTGCTGCTGTCCGTGGTTTTGTTTCGGGAACTTCGTGGATGCTGTTGTGCTGAACTGGGAAAATGGCAAATGTCGTATTTCTGCTGTGCCTTTTTTTGACTGTGCTGGACAATGAGAAGATCGGTAGTCATCCTGAAAAATCTGCTGGATTCGGGTCTGTTCTGTCGCCGGCAGTGGACATCCCCTGTACAGGTTCGGATGGGTTGCACAAACATTTGCTGGTTGCACTGTCGCGGACATTCATCTCGTCAAATGTCTGTCTTTCTCACTTGCCTGTCAGAATTGTTTTTTTAACTCTAATCTCACTTTCGCGAAGTTTTCTGGTGACTCTAAAACAGTTGACAATGTTTGTGTGTTGATTAAGAGGAAAAGGTGCTTGGTATTTTTATTGTTGTTGCTATCGGGGAATGTACAGCCAAATCCGGGTCCACCTAGTACTTTTTGTCAAATAGCTACTCCTGCTGATTTTATTTCTAGATCGGGGTTAGGTTTAATTCATTTAAATGTGCGTAGTCTGTTACCTAAATTAGATTTTGTCCGTATTTGGGCGAGTTCAACTGATGCTGATGTCATTGTCTTATCAGAAACGTGGCTTGACAAATCCATCCTGGCCTCTGACATTTACATAAATGGTTACAATATATATCGCACTGACCGTCCTAAAAAAGGTGGTGGCGTTGCCATTTATGTGAAAAATAAGTTTTGTGTAACAAATATGGTTTCCAAATCGGTTAGTAAACAACTGGAATTTTTAGCTGTGAATGTCGAAGTCACAAAGGGTCAACAGGTCATGGTGGTGGGTTGCTACAGACCCCCCTCAGCTGTCAAGGACTCCTTATCTTCACTGGCAAAACTGTTATCTCAACTTTCCTACAAGGAAATAGTGCTGCTTGGTGATTTTAATTGGGACTGGTTAACTTCTGTGTCAGAGGACTTTAAAAACCTGTGTACCTCTTTGAACATTACTCAGATTGTAGATAGTCCTACTCGCCCAAACATTAAGTCCCCAAATAAATCCTCCTTAATTGATCTCATTTTAACAAATGTGCCACATAAATACTCATCTGTGGGAGTATTTGCTAATGATGTGAGTGACCACAATTAGGGACACTAAGATCCAAAAAGTGAAACCACGCATTATCACAAGGAGAGATAAAAAACACTTTGTGGAGCAGGGTTTTTTACACGATCTGTTTGATTTTGATTGGGGTAAGATCAATCTGTGTGCGGATGTAGAAACTGCATGGTCTTATTTTTATCTTGGTTTTATGAAAAGTATAGATAAACATGCACCTCTGCGTAAATTCAGAGTGAAGGGTCGAGGCAATCCCTGGTTTTCCGCTGAACTGTCCAGTCTCCTTCATGAGAGAAACAATGCCTGGGCTAAGGCTAGGAAATCAGGCTCAGAGGTAGAATGGCTACGCTTTAGGCAGCTAAGAAATAGCTTCACATCACAAATAAAAAGTGCTAAATCAAAGTTCTATTTGTCAGTTACCACAGAAAATCTGAATAATCCTAGGAAATTTTGGAAAGCCATAAAATCGATTTCCACTGGTGATATTCCAAATGAGCTACCTCCATGCCTTACCACAGAATCTGGCATTATATCAGACAGGGCTACTATGCTCAATTGTTTTAATAAGCATTTTGTGTCTTGTGGCTCGCTGTTTGATTCTGTCACTGACTGTGCTTCTGCTCCTGTGAACGCTCCAATCCTTGAACAATGTGGTCTGGAAAACCCTTTCAGTTTTACCCCTTTTACTGTTGGTGTTGTCCATGATGTTTTATCCAAGTTAGATCCTAGGAAACCGGCTGGCCCGGACAACCTAGAACCTTTCTTTTTAAAGATAGCTGTAGATTTTATTGCTCCACCGCTTACTTCTCTTTTTAACCTCTCCCTTAGCACAAATACAATTCCTAAAGTATGGAAGTCTGCTTATGTCTTGCCTTTACTGAAAGGAGGGGAGGCAACTATTTTAAATAACTATAGGCCAATCTCGAAATTGTCAGTTCTGGCTAAAGTGCTTGAACGACTAGTGAGTGAGCAAGTAAAGGACTTTTTATGTATAAATGATATCCTGTCGAAACATCAGTCGGGCTTCAGGAAAAAACATAGCACCATCACTGCCACAATGAAAGTTGTAAATGACATCACTAGTTTTTTAGATAATAAGCAGAGTTGTGCAGCTCTGTTTATTGATCTCTCTAAAGCGTTTGACACCGTTGATCATCGCATTTTAAAACAGAGGCTACTCAGCATTGGCTTGTCCAGCCTTGCAGTGGGGTGGTTTGTGAACTACCTCTCTGAAAGGTCCCAATGTGTACACTTTGATGGGCTCACTTCTGAGTGGTTGAGCATTTCTAATGGTGTACCTCAGGGTTCTGTTCTAGGTCCACTTTTATTCTCTATTTATATTAATAGCTTGGGTGATAATGTGGAGGAAGCTACCTTACATTTTTATGCGGATGATACTGTGATGTATTGTGCAGGTACCTCAGTTAAGGAGGCTGTTGTTAAATTACAGACTGTTTTTAACACTGTTCAGACTCAGCTCTCAGCGCTTAAGCTTCTTTTAAATGTGGATAAAACCAAGTTAATGCTCTTTTCAAAAGCTAAAAAGTCACCAGAGCCTGTTTTAGATATTGTAACCATGCAAGGAAAAAAACTTGAAGTGGTAACCTCTTACAAATACCTTGGTATCTGGCTTGATGACTGTCTTTCTTTTAAACTGCATGTAAATAAACTGCTTAAAAAACTGAGGGTTAGGCTAGGTTTTTTTTTATAGAAACAAGTCCTGTTTCTCTCTTGAGGCCAGGAAAAGGCTAGTCACTGTGACCTTTTTACCTGTGCTGGACTATGGTGATCTATTTTATATGAATGCGCCGGCCAATTACCTCACCAAGATAGATGCCGCCTATCATAGTGCACTAAGGTTTGTGACAGACTGTAAGACTTTGACTCATCATTGTACCCTGTATACAAGGGCAGGGTTGCTTTCACTTACTGTACGGCGGCTAAATCACTGGTATCTTTTTATTTATAAAGCAATGTTAGGGAAACTTCCGTCTTACATCTGTTCCCTGATCTCACAGCGTATTGTAAATGGCTACTGCCTGAGATCTAAAGCTGTGGTTGTATTACATGTGCCAACTGCTAGGACTGTATTAGGAAATACAGCTTTTAGATGCGCAGCGCCGCTAGCATGGAACAGTCTACAAAAGGAATGGAAGCTAAGCAGTTTGATTCCATTTCATGTTTTTAAAGCTAGGATAGACGCTATACAATCAGAAAATATTGGTGTCTGTAAATGCTACTAGTATACAAACTGTAGTATCATATAATGTCCTTTGTTTTCTGTCATGTTTGTATTAATGTTTGGAACTAATTGAAGCAGGTCACCATTGTAAAAGAGGTCTATGATCTCAATGGGTTTTATCTGTATAAATAAAGGTTTTGAATTGAATTGAATTGAATTGAATTGACTCCATCTCTGGCATTAGCCCAGCACACCAACGGAGAGAGATTAACTTATGGCAACACAAAAGAAAACATGGGAGCGGTGGAGTGATGAGGAGGTGTCAGCGCTTCTGCCGATTTACTCAGAAGGCTTCAGTAGTCTCTTAAAAAAGAAATTTTTTAAACATAATATCCTGAGCTTGACCAAAATATTTGTCTAGATTTTTCTAGAAGCTGCTGGGAGTCTTCTTTTCGAAATTTCAACTTCAGTAGCACGTAGATACACCAAACCTTCCAGTTATATTCCTATCAATATTATGAAGGCTTTTACAGAAGGGTTTGTTACGGTGGCCGGCAGGTGCAAACGCGGAACAACGGCCAAAAACAAATACATTAGCAGGAAACAGCTGCAAATCCTGAAATGAAAAACAAACAAATCCTGAAAACAAATACAACCAACAAATGCTGCATTTACAGAAATGATGCAAACTAAATACAACACACAAACCCCGAAAACAAACGCGACAAAAAAACGCTGCAAATACCAAAACGACATGCAAAGTACAAAGCACATACAAATCCCAAAATACATACAAAAAAAAAACATTCCGGAAGTGTTCCAGGCCTCTAGGGGGCGCGCTACGTGGAACAGATTGATGTCTGACCAGACATAGAGGGAACGAACAAGAGTGCTGCAAATTGAAGCCGGAGGAAACGAAGTTGATCGAAGTGGAAAAAGACGATATATAAAAAGGTAAGTTTTGTTTTGATACAAAGAGCGTCATATTTACCCAGCTAGCGTTAGCTTGTTTGGTGAAAGAGCTTGCAAGTCAAGAGACAGCACTGTCTGTGCACCTAAATGTAACTCTTGACATCATATAGATATATTATAGGTGCAGAGAGGAGTTGGTTTATTGTGCTTCAATGTAAATCCTAATGTGAGAGTTAAAGGATGGTCAACAATATACTGTACCTTGGTCAGTTTGGATTTATCGTGGCATTTATTCTTAAAGTGAATTTATTTTATTTCAGTCAGTCATTTGTGTGTATGCAGGTGTGGGATATTCCAAATGTTCCAAAAGTGAGCACTCCACGAATGGACAACAGTTTGCAGGGTAAAATAAAACATTGTCAACATATTATTTTGTGCCACAAGAAGCAGAATGTTTTAACAGTACAGTAGTTTGAATATATTTGTTGTTTACCTTTATCAGACCTCTCAGGCACCCACAACCAGCGTCTGATCGGGTAAGAGTAATTACAAATGTAATTATACCATGTAGGTTTGAATTTGTGAACATGAAATCAATAAATACCTTTGTGTGCACTTGTTTCCTGGGTAAAAATAGGATGGAGCACCAACCCCATTCCAGGAAGAGGTCCAGTCTGCCCCGGGTCAGAACCACTTCTATAGGTAAACGATGTTGACAGTTGCATCGTGACACAGTTGTTTGCTGTGTATCTTTATTTTACATTTGTTTGTTTGTATAGCCTCCAATCACAGTGGGTAACATTGACAGGAAGCAGAACAATTATACTTTTATACATTTCCAAATGACACCCACAACATCTGACATCTTAGTGAAGACAATACAAAAAACACCCACAAATATTTTTCAAAGATCAGATATTTTTTGTTGCATCCATTTCAAATGTTTACAAGGATTGTGCAGGAGTATGACAAAAGTGCTGTTGTCAGTTTAGAACCCAATGTATTGAAAAAACAGGAAGAGGATCGACATCCTTTTATAAATATGACTGTCATGCATATATTATGTATTTGAAAGTAATTATTCAACTGTCTTCTCACTGCAGCAACTACACAACTGTGTATGCACTTATCATTATTGATAGCCAGTCTGAGCCAGAAGACACAATGGAGCAACGGTATTAATTGTTACTACTGTATTACCACTTAATTTTTCTATTCTATACTGTAAATCTTATTACTAGCTTCATCATTTAATATTACAATACATCACTTTGTCTTTCCCAGCACAGAATACCTGACTGCGGCACACATTGTTGCAGAACTCTCTGCAAAAATAACAAATACATCTTGCAGCAGGTTCAATATGAATAGAGCCAATGTGTGGGATGGAGCAATCCGCGGCTTCAAAGGTGCCTCATTCGACCCCTCTCATGAGATGTCAGTTAAGTTCACTGATGATGAGGGACACACTGAGGATGGAGGGGACACTGGTGGTCCTAAGCGTGAGTTCCCGACCCTCCTTATGGAATGCCTGAGAATTAAGAAAACATCACGTCAGCAACTGTTTGTGCCCCATGGCGGTGTGACTTTCCCAGCCACTCACTGTCTCAAAATCTGATTCTAAATGTATATTGTTCTCTATAAAGATAGAACTAATACACAATTATGAATGTATAATATAAGCTGTTTTGTGTATTTAATCATGCATTGGTCTACAATTTAATGATGGCTTCTACATATTTCACATAAACAGACAATGAAAAAACGTGTCCTTCATGCTGATAACTAGTGATACGCATCTGCCAATTAGTATTCTAAACAGAGTAGTGTGTTGAATCCTTATTTCTTGCATTTGAAACAGATACAATAAAAAAAAGTGAACTTACTGTTGTGTTCAACTTCTGCCAAAAACTGTACATGTTTGCCACAGGAGCCACAGAACACTTGAACTGTCCCCAGATGCTGGCCACAGAAAGGACACAACATGGCAGCCTGAAAAGACATACATTGATGTAGTAAATCCATTTAATCAAGTTAATCAAAAACACATAGTCTAAATAGTGGTTAGCTAAATAAATAGAAAGATACATCATGTTTACCGTTGAATCTGTGTTCTCTCTCTCCTTGAATGTCTCTATATTTGTTCTTGAGCATGTCTAATGCACACTACTCTCCTGTCATTACTTTGTCCCTCTTCACATGTTGTCACATCTCTCTCGCTCTCAATTCAATAGCTTTATTAGCATGACCATAGTTACAGGTAATTGCTAAAGCTCTGTATAGTTGCAACATCTATACACAAATATATACATATAAACAAACTGCTAAGAATTCAAATGTTCTTTTTCCGCGGTACTCACTATGGCCCGTGTTATTTGCCTGCACTTGATTTGTCATCTCTTTTAACAATGTTCTTCCCTCACTTTATCTTCTCTTCACGTGAAGCTCTCCTCTCCTCAGCTGGTGTAGTAGTTAGGCACGCTAACGCTAGCTATATAAATATGACGCTCTATGTATAAAAACAAAACTTACCTTCTTATATCTTTCTCCACTTAAATGAACTTTCTTTCCTCTAGATTTCCATCACTCTTGTTCGTCCTCTCTATGTCTGGTCAGACATCAATCTGTTCCACGTAGCGCGCCCCCTATAGGCCTAGAGCACTTCCGGAATGTTTTTTGTATGTGTTTTGGGATGTGTACGTGCTTTGGACTTTGCATATAATTTTGGTATTTGCAGCGTTTTTTTGTTGCGTTTGTTTTCGGGGTTTGTGTGTTGTATTTAGTTTGCAACATTTCTGTAAATACAGCGTTTTTCTGTTGTATTTGTTTTCAGGGTTTGTTTGTTTTTCATTTCATTATTTGCAGGTGTTTCCTGCTTATGTATGCGTTTTGGGCCGTTGTTCCGCGTTTGCACCTGCCGGCCACCGTAGTTTGTTCATATATCATTCATAGCCTGAATTATACAACATTGTATACCTAAAAACATGGCGAAAATTGATATTTTAGGGCTGTTGACAGTATTTTCTGATTTATGGAGTGATACAAAGAGATATCCAATATCCCTTCTGTAAAAGCCTTAGATACTAATTAGACCCTCCAGAAAAACGCGATTCTGCGATCGCAGAATTTACCGCATAATCAGCAAAATGGCGCAGATTTTTAAAAGGCCGCATATTTATCAAAAGGCCGCATAATCCCCGCATTTTTCCACACAAAGTTGAGAGGAAAAAAAAGTTAACTCGTCTTGACGTGAAGTGATGATGACGGGACGTCATCAGCTCGCGCATCACAGAAGGTAAACAACACCGTAGAGTGAACGTGTGGAGCTCACACGCGAGAGAAAACACCAAGATGAAAAAATCTAATCCATCTCATTTACCGACGAACATTTCTGCTAAAGACCGGGCAAAGCAGTACCCCGATGTCTTGCACGAAAGTGGGGGGAAACTATTCTGCACCCCGTGCAACTGTGTGTTGGAGCATAAGAGAACATCGACGGTGACGACCCACTTTGATTCATTCAAACATTCGAACATGCTTTCTTATGAAGGTAGATATGGTGCAAAATGTGAGTGTGTAAAACCTGATACGAGCACTTGCAGAAAAAAAATCTGAGCTTGTGTGCATACATTTACACTTGTATAAAATATCCACGTAACTGTGAACCAAAATTGAAGTCACAGAAGAAAAAAAAAGTTTTGTAGCTTGTAGAAAAAAAATGAACTTAGTGATGAAATGTTCACTTGCAGAAAAATACATATTTTTAAAATATATTTTCCATTACAACTGCAACTTTATTTATTAGAACCTCTCAAATCAGTCATTACAACTTGACGAATCTGCTCTGTGGCAGTATAAATCGACGAATCTGCGGTCTTGACTTTTGCTACACTTCTTGCGATAAATGTGTCGCACAAGTAATTTTCACCTGTAGATGTGGGGGGAGGGAGGGGGGTTGGAGCGAAGGTAAGAGCACTAACTAGCTACCATCACATGTACCTTAGCTTGACTTAAATGTATTAAACGTATAGTTCAGTGATGGCAAAATATAAATAACTAATGTCATGCAAACATATTAATATTTGCTTGATTCTAGAGTTGAATTTAGCACAATTGCATACAAACGTTAAGGGATTTTAAGATTCTGAAGTCTTCGTTCTAAATAGAAAATATCATGGATAATTTACAAAGGCTTTAAAAACACAGCAAGAGCCCAAGACAATTATAAAACTTGTCATTATTTCAGTACAGTTCAATTGGTTTTATTTTCATAAACGGTTATTAACCGTTAGTGCCAAAGCAGTAGGCTATAATATATGAATTACTGCTGTAGACTACAACCACTACTTGTTTAGCTAGCATAAACTCAACAAAGCTAGCGTTAGCTGGCTGACTGACGTTATTTTGCCGCTAAACTGCACGATATAAAACGGTGGTCTTCAAAGCGGATTTAATCCTCAATCATAATAATAATATTCAAAGTAATACTGGGCAAGTAATGGGCAAAATGTACCGTTGATTGATGCGCCATGTCAGTGGACTGGTAGCGACACGAACCGTGAGCCCCGCAGTCTCCAGTCACCCGAGCCTCGTCCTTCTGATAGTTCCTCTATGGAAGCAAACAAGAGACAGAAGTATTTGAATTTGATCAGACACCGAATTTATAGCATTGAAAATAATTACTTTGAAAATCATGAATCTGAATTTGTTTTGCTCCGAATTTATCTATGTGAAATAAAAATGTAAAAATTCAAGTAAAAAAAATTCGAATGTTCAAATTCAGATCCCAAAAATTCTAGTGAAAAAAATTCGACGTCAAATATTTTGGTGTTTCAAATTCGATGTCAAAAAATTCGGTGTGTAAAATTCGACGTCAAAAATTGCGATGCAGCCTCATCCGGGCTACTCAGACAGGATAAGCAATCGAGCCCTAATGCAATCAAACCGACTTCTGGCCTATCAGAGCCAAGCGGCAAACCCCGGGACAGTGCGGTGAAGCCCAATGCTGCAAACTATAGGCGATGGATGCAGATGGGAGCAATTCCCGTAGACCCTATGTTAAAATGTCCAACTTAACATAAGAAAATGAACATGTTTCTAGCCTGGATCTACAAAAACATATTCTGTATATAGTTAGATTCCCCCTTCATGACAACGGGACTGCTGCTCCTAGCTCCTCTGTCTCACGGTTAGCTCCGTGATGCTACAGCGGCTCAGCGCATGAGGAGAACACTACTTGAACTCGGCAGTGTTTGTTGTGTTGGTTCCTGGTGGACTATTCGTCCTGCAAATATAGGATTTATCTGCGGTTGAAACAGACCGTCCATGAATGCAGTTTCTTCGGTAAGTCAACCCTGCGTACTTTATGTTATGTTACTGGTGTTTTTATTAAGCTAACGTTAATGAATGTTTAGAGTTGGGTTAGCATTTGAGCAATCGTAGCTCCATCTGTGCTAACGATGCTATGCGTAGCATCCAAGAGTGTAAAACATTAAGTGGGATGCTACTGTATACCAAAAGGCTTCTGTGCGAGGTTGCTAAAATAAGGTCATCCTTGTACGTTAGATAGTTAGTTTGCTATTTAGGTTACTGTATGCATTGTTAAGGTTCATTTAAATTTGCTATGCTCTACTATAGCATAAAATAGACTAGCTAACTTCAACGTATTGTTGAAGAGAGGCTTAGTGTATATTAAATCAACCTCACAATGAAATGTGTGTATCTTTAAAATATGAACGTCACATTTCAAGATGGTCCAGAAATAACGCTCCCTTAGATATTGTAATATGATTTGTTGAACTGGAGTTATTTATTGCAGCTAACCGCCTATCCGACGAACGACCCAAACATTGTTGTTTTTAATATTATTACCAATGCCTCTTTTAATTGTATTATCATCACACTTGAGAAACAGCGGAACATGTAACTTAATTCCTGCATTTAAGGACGATGAATAGCGTAGTCAATGCTTTAGTGACAAGGAAATGATTTGTTTAAATATTATATATGACGTTATCTGTGACTTCAGTGGAAATTAAGCTTATCCATTTCATTGCATTTGTTAAATAGGTTTGTGTCTTACCCTTACGTGTGTGATGCATATGAATATGGCATTTGAAAACACATTAATTTGACTGACTCATGAAAACCTCATCCAAAGTAACAGTAAAATAAAAAGGACCTACACAATAATACTCAATCAAACTGATACAGTATAAGGACTGTGATATCCAGCAATTTCTTAAGTATAACAATAAGATTATGACCTGTTTTTAAAAGAAGATAAAAAGTAGTTTGCATGTAAAGAAGTCTGTAACCCACGCATGTAACTTTACATCTGTTTGTTCAAAGTGTCCTTAAGGTGATCCAGACAGGCTGGACCAGAGGAGGAGAGACAGATCTGGAGTCCTAGCAGCAGAGAACTTCAGCACGGATTCCAAGGTACACCTTTTTCATGCTTTACAAATAATGCATAAAGTAATGAATCTAATACACTGATATACATGCCATTAAACATGACTGAATACTAGATCACCTACACATCAGTGATGTTGAGTGGACTTTCTTAGCAAAAGGTTACATTTACATTTTACCAAGCAACATCACTTTTTTGTTCAACTTTCACATTTCAATGTATTTAAGGCAAATATTATTGAACATAGTGAGAGCTGCGACCCTTTGTCTTTCAGTGAGACAACCGGACGGAGCAAGCTTCTACAGTTGCACTAAGTTTTGATAACAGTTAAATATTATTTTAATAATACATTTATTTCAATGTTGATGAATTTAGAACGGTTTATTCATAATCTGATTATCTTTGTAGTACACTGTTGGATTTCAAAAACACATTCAAATAAAAAAATCATTATATTTATGAACAAACAAACACACCTCTTTCTTAAATAACACACTTGCTCTGCAATAATATGTTTTTTGATATTTCTGTTAGGAAAGGACATGCCTGAGAGACAGGACTGCTTCACCATGTTCTCTTTCTCTGAGGGTCCAGAAGAACATCCAAGAGGGAAAGGAAAAGCTGATGTTATGAGATATAAGAGCAGTACAGGACATTCACTAAGAGACACTTGTATTGTAACACAAAGACCTGCACACTGACTAGTTTTGTAGTCTAACAGGAACTTCATTTGTGTTGTTTTGTGTTTTACGTTGCACCTCAGAGACAGTGTGATTATTGTCAGGCCTATAAAGTTAGGCAAAAAAAAAAAGTCAGCTGATCAAATGCATTTGCCTCACTTTATGAGCTTCACATCACTTGTGCTTTGTACCGCGGAGTTTGCAACGTCATAAATAAATGGTGCCAATCTTCATTCAGATGTGAATGTGTAATCTAACATTTTCAGCAAGAATAACGGACAAAAGGAGTGCAAATACAATTTATTGAAATGTGAACTAAAAGTTATCAAGCATGAACCATCACCATTTTTTTTTAAAATAAAAACGAAATAATATACATAAGTTACACTAAATGTTAATCTGTTAATTGACAGGCTAGGCCTGTGCAGGTGGTAACAGCTATGCCCAGCATGGGCTAAGTTCTGTAGGTGCAGCTGGTGCAGGTCCTC